TGCATGGAGTTGATATACATTAAAGCATGTTTAGGAACATACGTCACTCTCAGTGGTGTGCTTGGAGCTGGCTGGTGATGGCTAGCAGAAGCTAATGGGCAAAATTTTAAGAATTTTTTGAGCCGGTTATTGAACCTTTGGTGTATCTTTAAACAAGTAAGGTGGGAGATTTGTGCCATGGAAATTGACAAATGGTTCAAACTAGGGCTTTCTTTACCCAGGGAGCCAGTTGTTGGCCATTTAACGGCACACCACTGAATGTACGGGATAATCAAGCTTTTACGACGTCAAAGGACATTGTGTAAATGGAAGGCCTGGGCCTAACCGCTGGTCTGGACAAGAGGAAGTGGATCATATTTTTCCTTCCCAGCCCTGACAGCTGCTTCCCTATGACAGCTGCAGGACTCAAGGCTCCGTCTTCTCCAAGGTGCCTCAGCAATCAGTGCTAAGGGCCAGACTGGGGTAGACATATTTGACTTGAAGGCTCAGCTCACTGCCCCAGCAGGTCTGAAGTCCTGAGAGCGGTAAAAGGCCTGGAGGAATGCCTGGTGCTACTTGCCCTGCTCCTTCATCACCAAGTTAGGAACTCAAGGGAAGATTAACAATGTATGTGCATCAGGAGAAGAGACCTGGGTTGTCATGGGCCTCCCTTAGGGTTAGTGGTGGGATCTTAATTTAATCTTATTAAACAAGGGCCTCTATTTCTCCCTCTCGAGAAAGAAGCCACTTCTGTCGCAGATCATGGTGGCACCATGGTGCCAAGATCAAGTCCTGCAGAGCCTGACTCCATCTCAGTCCTCAGAGCTGACTCTCAAGCTGTTTTGGGGAGAATACAAATGTTGACACATGAACTCTAAGGCCAGATGCACAAAAAGCAGGTGATTCAGGAACATATAGGAGGAGCATCAGGGAGCACTATTCCAGCCCCTCCAGCCAGGCGTCTGTCCTTCCCTTCCTCAGCCAAAAGCCTGGGGTGCACAGAGGCTTAGCACCTCTCAGCACTTCCTGTCTGCATCTGGTCTCCAGGTTCCCTGGAAGCTGAGAAAACAAAGGAAAAATGAGCATAAGTAGACCCAGCTATATCCATTAGATCCCTTGGGTCTGGCTAAGATTAGAATTGTTCTCTTATAGGGAAGGAGGCCTTCAGGATCCATGAGGAAATCAATCAATAGCTTTTTGCCACTTGCTTCAGGCAAGGACCTATGGGGAATAGCAAGGCTAAAAGATGATTTGAGCCATCAAGTAACTTAAATCATGTGGGAACTACCTTCACCACAAGGCAAGTTCAATAATAAGGCAAGACAACTGCATGCAGAAGAGCTACATGATTGATTGGCATAGGAGTGCAATGTGTTCAGAGTTAGAGGTCTCTGTAAGACAAAGAGGCCTGGGAATTTTGGAGAGCTGATCAAGAAGGAGCTCCTCAAGGAAGAAGGGATAATGATTGGACTAAGACACCAGTCTCTTCCGTTGTTCTGAAACAAATTGTCACAAATGCACTGGCTTAAATTATGCCCATTTTTTAATCTCACAGTTTCTGTATGTCAGAAGTCTGTGCATAGTGCAGGTAAGTGTCCTGCTCAGGATGTCACAAGGCTGACACCAAGGTGAGGGCTGGATTGTGTTCTCATCTGGAGCTTGGGGTCCCCTTCCAAACTCATTCAGGTCGTCAGCAGAACTCAGCTTCCTTGCAGTTGTAGCTCAGAGGTCCCCACTTTCTTGTGGTTGTCACCCAAGAGCTGTTCTCAGCTCCTGGAGGCCTTTTGCTATTCCCTGACAAATGATCTTTCCCAAACTTGACAGTTTGCTCCTTTACAGCCAGCTGGGTAATTTCTGGTGCTTTTTTAAAGCTCTGTTTTCAAGAAGGGCCCCATTCTTTTTAAAGACTTATCAGGTCAGGCCCACTGTGGATAATCTCCCTTTTGATTACTTCAGTCTCTTGATCAGTAATCGAATCACGGGGGCAACATTATACTGTATTCACATATTTGGTCTACATTCAATGGGAGAAGGTTCTACAGGGATATAATGGGTAAACTTACAGGACTTTTTCCTTCTGTTTAAAATGTCCTTCCCTTATCTTACCACATGGCCAGGTCCCTCTTACACCTCTCATTTCCCTGCCTGGTCTATGTTGGTTTTCCCCTTCTTTACAGCCACCATCATCCTCAAACATGTCACCCAGCTTATTTCTTTCATGATACTCTTCATTGTATATTCACAATTTTTTGGTCCATCACTCCACTCACTTCCAAGTTCCATAAGGACAGGGACAATGTCCCATTTGCACATCTCTATATTTCCAGAATAGAGCCTGACATATGGTGGGGACTCAATAGACACTGAATGAAAGGTTAAATGAATGAGTGAGAAAAATATATGGAGGGGCCAAGGGAGAGGCAAAAGGCGTGAGTATTGGGTATAAATGTCTTGAAGAAAAGCAGGAAGTAGGACCAGATTAAGAAATGTGAGGAGGTGGGCAAATCTATTTTAGATAACTTGAGTTTGAGATGCCTGTGGAACAAGTGCCCAAGTAGTAAGTCCAATAAGCAGCTGGAAATGTGTGTGAGGAGTTGCCATAGAAAAGACAACAATGTCCAACAAGAATAAAGAATGGTGCATTGACCATGTAAAACTATGTGCTGTAGACTGAAGATTTGTGTTCCAAAAGTGATGGTATTAGGAGGTGGGGGCTTTGAGTGGTGATTAAGTCATGAGGGTAGAGACCTTGTAAATGATATTAGTGTCCTTGTAAAAGAGACCCCATTGAGCTCCCTCATCCCTTCCACCATATGAGGACACAGTGAGAAGACAGCCATCCATGAATTAGGAAGTGGGTCCTCACCAGACATTGAATCTTCCAGTGCCATGATCTTGAACTACCCAGCCTTCTGAACTGCAAAAAAAAAAAAAAAAAAATGCATTTGTTGTTTAAGCTTCCCAGTAAATGTTGTTTCTTATTCGCCCAAACAGCATGAAAATTGGATTTTACTCCATTGGATAGTGCTCATCTCTATTTTCAATATCTCTGTTATTTGGAATAGTTGTCACTGAGAGCGTTAGGATTTATACTAGAATACAAGCAGGGATAAACCTCAACTTTGTGCACCGTTCTGTCATTGTCTGAGAACTGTGGGATACAGTAAAGCACACACCAGCACCCAGGGTGTTCAGGGCTCAGGGTGGTGAGTCCAGGGCTCGGCTCTGCTGGGCCATCAGTCAGGACTAAATGAAGAAGCTCTCCAGCAACCCTTTGCTGCTATGCTAACAGTTCATTCTTTCTCTCTTTCTCTGATCGCCCCACTTCAATGAGTTCTTCATCTATCTTCTCTCAACATTTCTACTATTTCACCTTTTCTCTCTTTCTCCATCAAAATTATTTTTCTCTTGCACATTTACCAACCTGATTCTTTTTCTAGAACCTCCTTCAGCTGTCTCCCCTGTCCCTTCTCACCAAGTCTTTCTTATCCGTCCTGCCTTTCACAGGTACACTGCAGTGGTCATGCCAGTTCACTACCAACACGGCACGGGACAAAGCTCCTGCCGGCGTGTGGCCCTCATGATTACAGCCGTCTGGGTACTGGCCTTTGCTGTGTCCTGCCCGCTCCTCTTCGGATTTAACACCACAGGTAACAATTATGGCCCCACTTCCAAAGCCCATGTGACTCACAGCACAGGTGAGTGGCTACAAGCAGTGCTCAGCCCCGAAATTACTGACCTTTGGTCAATGCACTTTGTAATCAAATGAAGATGCTGTAGACTGCAAAGCTTTGACCTCCTTTGTTGGTTATAATAAAAATATAAAGCAAACTTCATCGATTATTGGCACAGGGATAAAATTCTGCCCCTATTAATGAAAAACCTGGATTATTCCTATTTTGAAAGAAATGTCATTGTATTCATTTGAAGAAATGCACCAGTTAAAAAACGAAGCCACATTAATAATTTAGGTGAGGTTTGCTAATGAAAATATTACAATTCATAATTGACTTACAGTGCAAAGTAACACGTAAAAGCCCTCAAGTAGGATATACATTTCTAATTTTTGCTCAGGAAAAATCATTTCTAGAATTTTGGAACTAGTACAGATCCCTAAGTTATTGATGGTTATATTTCTTATATTTTAATATACAAAAAATTCTAGCCACAATGGTTGGCACATGGTACAACTTCTGGAGGGATGGATGGACAGATGGATGAACAATGTGTATATCTGAGCTATTTGAGATTTTAGACATGACACCATTCCAAATTTACACCTCATATGGATGAGTGCCCTCTTGTATATTCCATGTCCATCTTTTGGCCTCAGAAATTTCATGTGTTGAACAAAAACTATTTTCATATAGGAAAGCTATAGGTATTGGTGATAAATACTGAGTCTTTACTAAGAGAGAACTGATTTACTCTTTTTCTACTGTTAATTTGGATTTCTTATTTTGTCCATTTGAATTGGTTCATTCAATTCCTACTGCGTTCCAGGTTCGTGCTTTCCAATATATGTGTACAAGTCACATAGCTAGCTGTGTGTTTAGGTGTTATGCAGACATTCTATGTAACATATTACATATAAATACAGGAAAATTCTAACCTATAAATAGTCTTCAAAGAGCCATTTGCTGGACAATGACTTAGAAGTCAAAACACATTTAGAAAGACAGACAGAGACTCAAGTCAAAACAACCTAGATTCAAACTCTAATTCTACTACTTACCAGCTATGTCTCCTTAAACAAGTCACCTAACTTTCCTAAGTGTCCTTATTGATCAATTTGGAATAATAGTGTAGTGGAGCATAAACTTGAGCAAATTCAAATGTGTAGACTCAGTCTGTATATTCAGTTAGGAAGATTTCAATGTTTGCTGTTACATATGACTTCCTACAAATAAGCCCGGCAACTTCATCTCTAAAATTACACGGTGCGTTTGAACTCTTTAGAATGTATCATTCACTTTACTTATTACTGTTCAGAGCTGTAATCAAATCATATATCTTTATATGTGATTCAGGGGATTTTTCTAAGCAAATTTCAACTCTATAATTTTTACTTTACTCATTCATTGACTTTAGAATCTAACCCTACATATGGTATAACTCCACTTTACCTCCTTCATAGACTTTTTTACAATTAAATGAGGATTGAATTGGGATAACATAGATAGATGTGCCAATACATACCAACTGTTCAAGGTCAAGCTTGTTTCTCTGCCACATTAAAGGTTAAATAGCCAAATTATTCAACAAATACTTGCCTGGTTAACTCAGGGTGTTCCTAAAATACAATGTTATTATCATCTTTGCATTACTCTTTACCATGAGTTATTTTGTTATTTTCACTGAATGACACTTTATACACACAAGTATATATGCACACACACACACACCCCAAAGTAACATTCCCCAACATGATGATAGAGACTGACTGGCACTAAAGTACCAGTTTTGATGAGTCTTAAGTTGATAACTAAGCCACCTTATATATCTTTGTTTCAATACAAAAAATGTATTCTAAGTTGGTATTTTTAGCATGGGGCACTCACTACCACTGTTAGACCAAGACATTGCTTAACCGTTCCCTACCCCCTCCCCAGTCAGCCGCAAATCCCCACCAGCGTTTGCAGGACTGCCGGGAGCCGGTCCATCCTTGCTGTTTCAAGGGACCTGGCATATATGGCATACTGTTCTTAATATGTTTGGTCACCTTCTTGGCACTATGTGTTTTAACCAAGGTCACCTCTCTGAGAAAGGTTGTTTCCCCAGGTAGGGATTTTCCCCTGAAGTTAGGGAGGGAATAAAACCTCTTAACTGCCAGG